GCTTTTCTTTCATGTGACTGTGGGAGCATTTGTTACACTACAGATCTGGCTAAGGCAAGCCCAGGGCAAGGCTCCCGATTATGATGTCTGACACTATCCTTCAGATCTATTGCCTTGGCTTCAGGGGGAAAAGGAGGGAACATATCATAACTGCCACTGTGATGAAGAAGCTGTTCCCCACAGAGGAGAAGCTCTTCTTTCTTTCTCTCCAACTTTCCTTTTTTAAAATCAGTATGGCGTGCCTGTGAGCATGGAAGACCTTCTAGGAAAAGTCCTCTCAGAAGAATGCTGGCCATGAGATTATCTTTCAGAGGAGAAGATTTCTGTCTTCAAGGCCGTAACAGTGGAAGAACAGTCATATGCCATTGGAAGACTTGGCCAGCCGTCCTGAATCCTTCCTGAAGAGTTCAGAAAATAGATGTGGTATTGCTCTGAGAACCAGGCAGGAGGAACTCTACAATCTGAGTTTGCCTTTGTGAGGCATTAGTATAGACCAAATAAAAAGCTGCAGAAATTGGAAAGTTTATGTTTTAAATAAATGACTGTGATAAATATCAGATTTTACATTGTTGCAATGTGCAAATATTTTCTTTGCTTTGAAATATTTTGATATTTATCTGGTATCAATATAGACATCAGATTTGCACATTTATGGTACTAAGAGTTTATAAAGTCCAAGATGGTGTGAAATTGGTTCTTTTTACTTTTATATTTTTGCTTGAATCTTAACTCTGGAAATCACCTGATGTAGAAGAAGGCTGTGATGAGCTCGTCTCTGGAACATCACAAGTATTGAAAATACAGTAATGGATGTTTCCTTTCTAATCCATGTTTATTGTTTCTTTTGAAATCACGTCTAAAAACTATGACTCATTAGACTATAGCCGTTGTTTCCCAAACTTCAGTCTCTTGAGTACTACTTGTATTATTTTCTTAATATTTATCTTTTATATTTTAAAGTTTTTTTAAAAAACGAATCCTGCTCCAAGTGGAAAACCAGTATCAGTTTGCCGTAAATAAAAGGTAACCACAAAATAAATAAGACGAACACAAAAAATGTTTTTCAGTTCTAGCTAGAAACTAATGCCTAGAAAGGCTCCGAATCTTAGGCTCGCTCTTTGTGGCAGTGAGGGAGATGTTACCAGCACCAGCATGAGGCACTGTCTCTGGAATAGTCAGAGTATGAAAGGAAACTGTAAAGGGAATGACGTTCTCATTGTGATTCAGCATTATTCTGTGTTGCGCACCACTTAAAGACATCTTGTTTGCCACCAGTGGCATGGGTCCTGCACTATGGAAATGCTTGACTGTACTAAGAATCAGAAGGTAGCTTTCCTAGCAACTCATTATTTTATGGCTTTGAGGAATTAAGCCCATAGTATCTGAGATAACTTACTTGCTTTTTGATAACGTTTTAAAGATTGTTTAAGCAGTTGTGAATTAATAATATATGAAGCACAGTGTGATTCCATTAGCAAAATCTGTAACTCTCATGGTTTTGGAAGTCATCTTTATGAGTGATTTTCCTTTGTTTTTTAAAGAAAATATTTCAAACAAGGAATTCAAAGGATGCTGAAATTGGATATCATCCAGAAGCATGAGGTGGAGCGGGGGGCACTATATCATTTTCATTTGAGGAAACCAAGACTTAGGAACTTGTCTTTGTATGGCATGACACTTAGTGGTGGATGTGAAGTTCAAATTTGGAGTTTGGGTTTAAGTCGCTTAAAAGTTGGTGCTCATTTTCCTATGCCACAGTGCATCTCAGAAAGAAACTTCTTAGGGAATGTGTGTGTTACGACAGCTGGGCTCTTACTGTTTTAGCAGCAGTGTGAACAGATGAAGCAGACATGAAGGGGGAAATGGCAACGTATACTGTGTGACAGGCACTATGGTAAGCATGTCATATTCACTGAAACCATTTATGAAGGTTTTCTCTTTTGAAAATGAGCCACCTGGGCCATGAAGAAGTTAAGTGACTTGACCACAATCACAACCTAACCCAAGTGGTAGCATCAGGATTTCAGTCCGGATCTGACTCAGAACTCAGAAGAGTTCTTAACTACCATGTGATTTTAAGCTGGATAACATGGAAATACGTTTAAATATATAAGGAATATATATACAGGTAATAAGAGATCAGGTCAGTGCTAACTCCTACAGTATAGATGTCCCAGGTTGAATAAAATAGTTTCCTAAAATCTCTACATTTATAAGAATGACATAGGACAGATGGCTGCAAGAGGTATAGTGAAGCTTATGTATACCTTAGCTATTGGGGCAAGAAGTATACATTTTAGTACTTGTACTAAAACTAACATATAAATTAATGACTCTTGATAAGGAAAATAAAAGCATTATTGGTGATTTGGGTGTTACAAACATTGCTTTGCCTAGCAAAATGCCAGAATAGGTTGATTCTTTGACTTGACATCATTTCATGGGAATTCTGTTAGGTGATTAGGGAATTTGTGATCCCTCTGAAAACATTAACCAAAAAATAGAAGAGAACTTTTCACAGTGTAAATAAAACAGTATTTAAGAGTTTGGAGCCAGAATCATCCCTGGCTCTCTCTTTTACTAGCCTGGTGACCTCAGCAAATTACTTAATCTTTCTTCCTCAATTTCCTCAGATGTAAAGTGGGGATAATAATCATACCTTTGGCAAAGCAGTGTTCTGATGATTGAGTGCGTAAATGTAAAGCACTTAGAGGCTGGCACAGCAAGTACTAGGAAAGCATTTGCCACCACGTTGCGGTCTTCCTTGTTGCAGTTACTTTAAAGGTAGTAAGAGTCTTTTAAATTGCAAATGCCCCCGAATGTCATAAATCATTGCACAAAACTTTTCAGAAGCCATCACTTAAGTAAGAATCCCATTGAAATATCTAGCAGGCAGGCGCTTGTGGACAGACTTCTGGGCAGGGCACTGGAGGTGCATCCAGAGAGAAGAGGGGGTTGAAGGACTCACATTTGCCAAATGCCTGCTGTATGCCAGGTGCTGTGCCTACCTTAACAGAGTCCTCCAGAGAGAGGGAAGTAGGATGAAGCCCCGTGTCACACACCTGGGAGTGGTAGGCTGTGCTCGCCAGTACCTGCAGAGTCTCTCAGGCACTGGGGTGCTAGTGAGTGAGGGAGGTGCCTCTAGGAACCTTGCCCTATCCAGTGTGGAACCAGCATTTTGGTCCCAACACACCTGACTTGGAACATTTGAATCTGATCTACAGTTTGCTCATGGATGGCGGCAGCCCTCGTGCCCACACTCTTAGGGCCCTCGTGAGTGTGCACACGTGTTGATGGGAAGTTGAGGGGTGTGGGGAGGCAGCCACAGCCTTCAGCTGCAGTATCATGCAGATGCTGGGGACGTGAGAGCTAAAAGGCACTCTTAAATTGCACAAATGCAACATGGATTTTAAAAGAATCTGAGGCAAAAGGCACCCTCCAAAAAAACCCATGTGAGCCGGGAGGGGACTGCCACTATGGCTAACAAAGTGGGGAAGCAATTTTGCAAAATAAGAAAACTAGTGTCAGGCTAACCAGAGATGCTAACAAACCTGAGATTCCAGGCAGATCTAAATTAGAAATCGGTCAAGGGAAATCACAGTGATAGTCTCCCTTATGGATTCCAGTGAGAATTCTTTAAATTCATGGTCCTGATGGAGTAGCAGTAGGAGAGAGAGGCCCTGGGGATGCATAGGCCCTCAGTGGTTCAGCTCTGCTCACTAGACACTCAGGCAGGTGAGGCTGGGCGCTAGGAATCCCGTGGGGACAGGATGCCTGCCTACTTGGCTCTCAACCCTAGGTGAATCTTATCGTCTTCACCGTCTTCCTCCCCTTCCCTCTCTGGACCCTCTGCTTGCTCTGTGAACCTGGATTGATCTCCACTCGCCCCTCACTCCTGAATGGGGCCCTCGAAGGGAGAGGCCCCTGGCTGTGCTGATGTCGTGAACGCTGCTGGGCCGGACTGGTGTCTGCAGGAGGACAAAGCAAAGGCTGGTTCTGACTTTGGCTTGAAGGTGATTTTCCCACAGATCCCCCTTGGCACGATGCTTTTACCTCATTTGTCTGTGCCTTTGGCTCTAATCTTAACGTCTTAATTACATTGTGTTTACATTTGCACGGTACATGTGGTCTGGCACTTGAAGACTGGATGAAGAGTTACACAAATATTTAGACTCAGGGAGTGCTCGTGGAGGGAGAGAGCCTGGAGACCAGCCGCTCCAGTGCCCTCATTTGCCTTTGCTCATGTCCGTCTCATCAAGCAGGGACCCTGCAGGTGGGAAAGAAAGATGGCGAGAGGACAGCCAGTATCACATTTTCCTTCCCAAGACAGGGATGAAAAGCCACCAAGATGACTTTTGTGAAAATCCGGAAGGATGAGAAAAGCCCAGTTTAGTCATCGGATCTCATTTCATCTATTGTTAACCTTGATGAATGGCAAGCCCGCTGTTCCTGCCAAGCTCTTCAGTAGCCAGCTAGATGGGCACCCTGAACAGAAGTGCTTCTGGGCTAGTGCCATAGGGACTGCTCTGAGTACCAGGGTGGACTCAGGCAAGGCTCCGGTCTTTTCTCGAATGGCTTCCCAGGCCTGAGGAGGCACAGGTGAGAAAACGTATGTGGAAGCTCTCTACACACCGTGAAGTTCATCCAAATGGAGCGGGATGGTCTCTCTGGTCTACTGTGCCCACCCCCTCCCCAACCCATAAATAACAGCAGCCCTTCCAACTCTCCTTCTGATCCCGTGCTCAGTGTTGGGGGCCTTGCGGTGGGCAGCCAGGGCCAGCATGGCCAAGCCCTGTCGGTTCCCTTCCCTCTGAAGGTGAACTGGACAGCATTTGTTCTCTGTAGTGTGATTTGGATTTAGACAAATTCAAAAACTGCCGGATTTCAGAGTGTGTGTGTCACTGCCGTCGTCGTTCTCTTGTTCAGGCAGCAGTGAGAATCTGCTCAGCACTTGTGAGCACTATATGCTGAAATGCCTGAGAAGGCTTTCCTCCCTGCAGGGCCCTGGGCTCAGCACCTTTTTCAGGCTCCAGGAAGCTCATATCCCGCTGATGGACGGCTCGTGGTCATCGCAGCACTATGGAAAACCCGCAGTTCCTGGCATCATTTACAAGCCACTCAGGTAATTTCGCTTTTGGAAAAGTTCTGTGAATGTATTTCTAACTTTTGTCTTAAGAGTAACGTGGCTAGCTGGTGAATATTTATTTTCAGCCTCTCCAATGCGCCAGGATTCACTGTCCTCCCACTGATTAGCTGCTACACTCAAATCATCACCATGGTGGCTGAAGTCTGGTCTTGGTTTTAGTGATGTTTGCTGTCAGTGGGCATTAAAGTGGTGTTCAGAACTCACCCCACCTATCAAAAGCATCTTTTCAAATAAACAGTTAATTAGTATTCTAGATATGAATATGCCTTTGGAAAAAAGTAGACCCTCGTAAGAGAAGAACAAGTAAGTTCTCTGGGACTAGCTCAGTGGGGATGGGGTTGGAAAGGGCTTTTGAAGGTTTTGATTGCATTTCCTTGGTGTCTACACGGGCGGTTTCATGGGGGCTGCCTGAGGGCCTAGTCTCTACTGGCCACAGCAGAGTGATGTTGTTAAGGAGCTGAGGTTCCCACTTAGGCCAATTGGCCCCTAAAGTTTGAACATGTAATCATTTGGTCTCCTTTTCTAATGAATGTACTCCAGCGTGAAAACTTCTCAGAGTTAAAGTCACACCTCAGTAAAATGGCATCTTTCACCAGGCACGTTGAAGTCCTAATGATGTCTACCTTCTTTGGAGCAGGAGGCCACATGCCCAAGACTGTCACATCTGTGTCCCCACATGGCTATTGGTCAGTGAAGCTGTGAAATCTTTCACTGCTGCCTTTACACCTGTGTTCAACTTCACGTGAGCAACCCCCTCTGATTTTCTTTCCTTAACCCAAATATAACCTGGCATTTGATGGCACAGCAGGCAGGAAGTGCTGACAGGGGCCCCTGCCTCCCCTACCACCTCTCCCTTCCTCTCAGTGGGGAGAGGAGTCCTAGGCCTGCAGGAGGTTCCCTGCATGGGGTTTGATGGCAGACAGGCCTGCTCTGAAACTCATCTCTGTTCATTACCAGCTGTGTGGCCTTAGGCAAATAACTCAACCTCTCTGTGCCTCAGTTCCTTCATCAGTACGATTAAATGCGATAATGTTTGTATGGCGCATATCCCAGTGTGGCACACAGAGAGTGCCATCATTATTAGCTATGCAGGTCAAATCAGTTCACTTCTGGCCTGCAGCTTGTCCGCACTCACCTGCCTGGGTCCTTTCCATTATCTGTGTTCCATGCCTGTGTTTTCACCTTTCTTTCTCGTGGCATATAAACATGTTTGGCTCATCTGTTTACAGCATCCTTCCCTGGACCTGGTCTTTTCTGTTCTGATGCTGGATTTTGTATCCCCTTCACTCCTGGTCCCTACTCAGCCCTTGTTCCTCAGCCTCCTGTCCTGGGTGCACCTGCTCCCCAGCCCCATACACTGACTTTTGCTACGGTCACCAGTGTTCTCCCACTGGCCGCCACAAGGACCGCAATCTTCAGCCAACATTATCTCTATAGCAAGGTGCTGTCCCCTGCTCAGGGGAGTTCTCTGCCCTCTGCGGCTCCCCTCCCCAGCACCCCGAAGGCTGGGTGCACTGTTCTTCACACCAGGGCCAGGCCCCCCCGGCCCAAGCTGCAAATCAGACCAGGACACATTACCAGTGAAAGTGTTTAATAGTTAAATTATTTAAATAGACTTTTCAATTTCCATGGGAAATCATAATCGTATCTGTTTTTGCAAGAGTAGGAATAAAAAGAGTGCACACCCCTTAGAGGGAACGAAGAGCTAGCACTGCACCTGCACGCTGTCACCAGTCACTGCTGGGATGAGAGAGGGGTCCCCATGGGGCCGGGAGGCCATGACCATGGGGGAACACGGGATGAACTCAGCACACACACTTTACTCAGGTTGGAAGCAGAACGAAAACCCAACACCACTGGCGGGCGATGTGGAGGGGCAGGGAACTTGAGAACAGCTGGAAGAAAGCGGGCCTCCTGCCCTCGACGGCAGGATGGCAATGCAGAACTCAAAGGATGGAGCAGCAGAAGCACGGGACAGACTCAGGCTTGGCAGTTTTGGGTCCGCACACTTTGTTTCTCAGAGCTGTGTTCGAATTGTGGTGGGATTAGTGTGCGGCGAGGGGAGGGTGGTGCTAGAGCCCAGTGAGAGGTGGTGCAGGTGGATATCAAAGTCACATTGTGGCACCTGGCACAGAGCCACCGCCTCATCGCCTCCAAGCTCATGTTGGAGGTGAGGATCATTCTAACCTGAGAAGCAATGGGAAGATTTGGGCATGGGCCCTAAGGAGTCCATCGAATTCTGTGGTAGAGTATCATTTTCCAAATGCCTTCCTCATAGCTTATAAAAATAGTATTTTTTTTCTTGGTATATTTAACTGCCTCCTCCCGATAAAATTCCTGCTAGCTTTCCCTGTGGACTCTAAAGCTGGACTCTACCCATTCCTCTGCCTGGTTTGCCGGTGGAGGTCAAGGCCACTCCCTTTCCTCAAACCTGAGGGCTGCACGTTGCAACCCTGTCTGAGTGCAACCCTGTCTGAGTGAACAGCTCCAGGAAGAGCCACCTGCACCTTGGCCAACTGAGTAGGCCAGGCAGGCTTGGCTTTCTTGCCCCAGCCTGCAAAGCACCCGGCCTTCTGTAAGCACTCCAGAATCCGTGGGAGCTGCCTCTGTAAGCAGCAAACATCTGAAATCTCAGGGCGTGGAGGGTGGAGGGTGCCACACTGCCTGCCTCAGGATGAGGTTGCTTCCCTTGGTTCCAGCTCGGCCTGGGATGGGAAAGCAGCTTTTTGTTTTCTTATCATTCCATCTGCGTTTTGCTTAGGGGAAGCAGGGTGTGTGCATGTGTGTACACACGTGTGCGTGTGTCAGAGAAAGATGGGGCAATGTGTCCATGCATCCTCCTCCTTAAGCTGAGCATATGGTACCCCAAAAGCACACACCCACTGCTCTGGTGGTACCTGCAAAAACCCAAAACTGCCAAATCTGAAAGGAGGGAAATGCATCCGGTGTGAGACCAGTTCCACAGCATGAACACACGCACATATACACCAGTACATACGCCAACATACGCACAGTACAAATGAGCACACGCCTCGCTGTGCACGGCTGTTTTCTAATATAGAGAATTTACAAAATATAGAATTTGGCATATCTGTGAGATCTCCAAGGCTTTCAATAATACAAAATAAAAAATACAAAAAAGACAAGTGGGGATCCCTGCCCTCCCCCCGAGTGGCGTCCTTGTTTGCTTGTGGGTCTCTTACACGCATACAACTAGCACAGTCTAAAGAAGGGCACGGAGAACTTGTTTTGTTTTATTTAATAAATATTTTTCTCAGAATCACCACTCCTTGCTTGGCGTCCTCTTGCCTCCCCCTCGTAATTAGTTCTGTTTCCCTCCTAGGGCACTGTCTGTGTGCGTGGAGGTGTGGGCAGAGGACCACGATGAAGGCCACAGTCCCTCCAAAGCCAGCACTCCTGCCCCAAAGCCCCTGCAGGCGCAGGGTGGCGGCCTCTCTGTCTGAAGTTTAAAGGCTCACATAGAAAAGCAGACCCCTGGGGTCCCTAGGCTCCCCCAGGCCAGAGTCGAGCCCGTCTACCCCCAGCTGAGTCGGAGGCCCCTCCCTCAGCCCTGCCCTTGTCCGGGCCGCGCCACACACACATTCCCACGGCTCCTTTCCACCTGTGCAGCAGCACCTGTTAGAAAACTCAAGCTTCAGACCCAGTCTAGCAGAGTCTTCTACAGAGGGAAACATCTTTGGTCAGCTGGGTGCTCGCAGGACGCTGGCACCCCAGGGCCTGGGACGGAGGCCGCTGCCCACCAGCAAAGGCAGCAGCTGCTCTGGAGTCCAAGTGGAAAATCTCAACAGCGCAGCCCTGCGGGCTGGAGCATGGCTTCCCCGCCACCCCTGGCACACAGAGAAGCTGCTTCCGTGACTCTGGAGGCCAGGCTGCCTGGCACCGGTGGCCAACAGCTGCTAACTGAGCGGGGGCCCTCCATTGAGGAAGTAGGTCATCATCTCGCCTTTGCCCTTGACCTTGACCACGCCCCGGCACTCCAGTTGGTATGTGTTGGCAGCCAGCACCTGGTACATGTCCGTGGTGACCTGTGGGGCAAAAGGAGGAGAGGGGACAAGCCACTGATGGCCTTGGCCATGAACTACTGTGGGGTAGAACCACCTCTGACTGCCCAGCCCTGCTGCCACCCCTGACACAGAAGGAGGGGGCAGCTGCCCCACTGCGGCGCTCTCAGGAAGTGACAGCAGCTCACCGTGGAAGGGATCCTAAGAAAAGAGTGATGCCAGCTCTCACCCTCAGCACCTGTTCGTGCCAGGCACTGTGACGGGCAGCTTGCGTGTGCTGCTTCAGTGCCACTCAGTGTGGCCTGTGGTCCATGGACTGACTGCCCTGAGTCCAGAGAAGTTCAGGAGTGGAGAGTAAGTGCGGGGGAGCTTTCACAGCCATCTGACCTGGCTGCAGCCCGTCTCCAAGGGTGTCCCCGGTGCGCTGTACAAAAGCATCCCTCCGTGACAGATCAGAATGATTTTTAAAAGCTGTTTTTTCACCACAGGTCGTTTGAGAGCCTTTGCTTATCTCACTGCATCTTCCTGTGAGGTGACTACTATTATTACCTTCAGGCTCAGAGCACGTAAGTCACGTGCCTGAGGTTACACACTTAATAAACGGCAGGGCCTGGGTTTAGGTCCAGGCCTTGTTACCTGGCTCTGCTTTAGCTTTTGGAACAAAGAAGGGAGCTCGCTGATGGCTTCGTTAATTTCACTATCCCATTGCTGGGTGAAAGAGGAGAGTGGCGGGGGACAGGTGTGGGGAGTGGCAGCATGGCCAGTGCCTCCTGTGATGATCCAAGAGCTGTTTGAGAGCGTCATCAGAGCTCCCCACCCCAGCCACGCTGCAAGCCCGCCGCTGGGAGCACCAGGGAGCAGGGGCGGGAGTGCTGGATGGGCTGCTGAGAGGGACCCCACTGTGTTACTAGCTGCAGTTCCTGTGCAGCAAAGCCCCACGCAAGGTAAGGTGCTGGGTCATTGTGGTGGCTGCTGTCCCTTGCACCTGTCCCTGAATGGGCTGGAAGCCTTGGAAACACACATGCCTCTCACTCCTATCTCTAGGCCCATCCCACTGCCCTCCTCAGCAGGAGGAGGTGAGAAAAGGCCATCAAGGCCAGGCCCCTCAGCCAGCTTCCACACCCCAGCCGGGTCAGCGTCCACACCCCAGCCGGGTCAGCGTCCACACCCCAGCCGGGTCAGCGTCCACACCCCAGCTGGGTCAGGCTGAGTGGACCAGGACTGTGCTTGGGGTCAGGCTCTTTATTCAGAGGCCCTGTGGGGGAGAGAAGTCGGGACATTTAAGCAGTATCATCAGTGTTGGCAAAAGGCCTTAGAAGCAGCACAGTTAGCACCTGGAAAAACTGAGGGCAGGCGAGCTGACTTCCCAGAGCCTCACACAGAACTGTGGGTGAGGGCCTTGCAAGGGACTACCGCCCAGAGCAATGCCTCTGCCATCAGACTACAGCAGGGAATCAAGGAAGGCTCGAGAAAAAGCAGCAGCTGAAGAACAGCAGGCCTGGAAACCACAAGCCCAGCTTGCAAAGGAGGGAGCAAGGGGAAAAGGCCTCTGAGTCTCTGGCCAGGGCCCTTGGCTGCTGGGGCTGGGGGAGGCACCATCCCAGGGCCAGCAGCCTCCACTGGCTCTCCTGAGCCAGGCCAGGAATGCTGCAGGCTCAATGGATAAGACCTGCTCCCTGCAGACATCTTTGTATCCTCTCTGTGTGCCTGGACTAGAAGGCACTGGGGCCTGCATGTGCACTCTCAGCTCAGCCTCTACAATCAGATCCACTCCCAACAGCCCCCAATCCCTTCCATGCCCAGTAGAGGGCTCTGCAGAAGCCGAAGATCTGTCCAAGGTGCTGAGGGTCTGAAACACAATTGTGTTCTCCAAGCTTCCAAGCGTCAACAGCCCCAACACCCTTGAATCTGGCTGCAGAGATTCTGAGTGGGAACTTTGGGTGGCCTGTCCTGAAGACCTCTCGGTGTCACAGGCCCTCCCATGGGGGTGAGGGGTGGTGGATTCTCCTGCACTCACCTGGATGCGGTCAGGTACACCAGTGCTGTCCATGCGGCTGGCCACGTTCACGGTATTGCCCCAGATGTCGTACTGAGGCTTTCGTGCCCCTATCACCCCGGCCACCACGGGGCCAATGTTGAGCCCTGCAGGGGAGAGGAATCAGCCACACTCATCAGGTTAGGACTGACACACGTCTGGCTTGACCTCGCCACCATCTCTCTCTCCACATGCCACAGGTCCTGACTCCCAGCCTGAGACACCCATGGGCCTCCAGGCCCAAGGCCACGCTTAACCCTGCAGCCTCCCGCTTCTCTGCTCCTATCAAATGCCTGTGAATGCAAGACACAAGGAGCCTGCACCTGTGTCCTCGACACCTCTCAACCAGGAGTGCCCTCTTCAAGGCCTCCTGTATAATGCAGTTGCCTTTCCCTAATCCTCCTCCTCTTGTAGCCATTTAGGCTCAACTTATCAGACTGGCTGTCTCCCTCTTCCTCATTTTTCTGTTTCTTTCCTCGCTCTTCTCACTCTTAGATCCTGGCCAACTCATCGCCCTGTGCCAGTCTCCTCTCTCCGAGTACTCCTGCTCCCCCGCCTCTGAGCTAGGGCAGGCACACTGCAGCGACCAAGCTCCAGCCACCACTTCGGCTCTCCTCCACCCACCTTCCCAATCCCACCCAAGGCAATGCTGAGCATCACTGCCTCTGAGCCTTCGCTGAGCTGCTTCTCTCTCCTGAGGCGTTCTCTTTCCTCCTCCCCAGGCTAAATCCTGCCCCCACGTATCTGGCTCAACTGATATTCTCTAGACATTTCCTGTCCTGTCTCCAGGCATGGGGCATTCCCTTCTATGTAACCTGCCGGTCTCATACTGTCCTCACTAAGCATCACTGTTGCCTGTTTCTTGTATGTGAAGGGCAGGACTGAAAACACAGCAGAAGCTCCAAACTAGGCCCCTGGTGACCCTCACTTGGTCAGCAATGCCATCAGTCCTCAGGACTTCCTTCCATGACCCTCCTCGTCAGTCCTTCCAAGCAACAGGCAGCTTTATACCCCATGTGCCATCACCAGGCTGGACTGTCCATCTTGCTGACTGGACTGAGCCCTGATGGCTTCTATTTCCCAAAGCCACGCCACCCAGGGAAGATAGGCCTCAGTCTGTAGGAAGGGAGCTGCCACACAGGCTCCCAGCTGCCTGCCCGGCTCCTTATCTACCTCTTGGCAGATTCTACACTCAGTCCCCAGGCCTGGTCCAATCAAGGAGTTGAGGCTTTTCAAAAACACACACTGGGAGAAAAACGCAAACCAAAGCAGGTGGACAAAACACAAACCAAAGCAGGATGGGGTGAAAGGAAAACAAGAATGTCAGCGTTACACAAGACCAAGGGTGTATGACGTTAATGCAAAAATGTAGGCTGCACATCACTTAAAGCGGACTCCCAGCTGGCTGCGCTCGGGGCCTCCAGCAGCCAGTGCAGGATGCAAACCTGGCCAAGCCCACAAAGCACTGTGCCTATGGGATACAGCAAGCCAGCTGGCCCAGGGAAAGCCCGATTCCTGACACTCTGGCTGCAACAAAATGTCTCCTAAGGACACGAATGATCACAATACTGGTTTTTAGTCATCCAATATTTCGGTATAATGTGTTAATTTTGAGAATTGAAATGCCCGTATTTTTGTGGGTGATAATTGTGATTTTTAAAACTTTGAAATCTGAATCACTGATGGTTTGAAACATACCCAGGGAGTTGATAATGCATTAAATGGCGAATAGAACAAAGGCCTGCTCGTTCAGAAAGCATTCTTTACCTCCACAGACCTCAGGAGGAGCAACACTCCACCACGTCAGCTTTCTATTGCAAGACCAACTGGTGCGCCATCAGACTGTACACCCTCGGTAAGATCCATTCTAAGGACAAACAAACTGCAGAAATGCCTCGAGCTTTGTGGAACGAGTTCAGAGCTGGCATTCCACAGTCATTTTATGGACACAGGAGGGTGGAACACACGGGGCAGTGTGTACCTGGGTTTTCATTGTACCATTTTTTCAACTCTTCTGTAGAGTTGAAACTTGTCAAAATAAAAGGTTAGGGGTAAGGAAACCAAACTGACTTAAAAAAAAAAAAAAGGAAAATACGTATGTTTTTGGTTCAAAGACTTTCTGAGCAAGAATACGGTCATGACTATTTTGAAACTGATTCAGGACCTCTGTCGGACACCACAGAGGCATCGGCACAGCCCCTCCAGAGTCATCCAACCAAGGCGAGGCAT